GAGGCGAGGTCTACGCCTTCGATCCGCTGACCCCCGAGGAGATCCAGCAGGTCCGCCGAGAGGCCAAGGAGCTGCTGGCCGTCTACGGGCTCACGGGGGGCGCGGACGCGCAGCCCGAGGGTGGGCGCTGGCTGATCGCCGACCCCGCGCGCCCGGGCTTCGGCGACGCGCTCCCCGCCGCGGCCCTTGCCGATGCCGACAGCCTCATCATCCGAGGCGACCGCGGCCTCGCCTGCGTGGACGAGGACTGGCTCGCCGTGGAGAGGGTGCTGGACGAGGACCTGGACAACTGGAGATTGCTCAAGTCGACGGGCGCGGGCCGCGACAGGCGGATCCTCGGCGACGAGCGCGTGAACGGGGTGCCCGTGCTCTGTCTCTCACCGCCGCGGCGAGGGCCAGCAGCAAGGCCCTTCGGCCTGGCTGGCCCTTCCGCGGCGACGCCTGCGCCCCGGAGATTGTCATGGCGCTCGTCGCGGCGGGGATCGTGTTCATCACCCGCCACCTGGACTGGAGAACGAAGTCGGGGGTCAGCACTACGTCGGGGGTGTGCCGGGCGCACCGCCGCATCTGCGAAGGCCTCGACCAGGCCATCTGCTACGACCAGCTCGACTTCGCCAACTGCGCGGTCATCGAGCACCTCGCCCGCTGGCTCTACGAGGTGGAGTCGGCGGTCAGGAGGAACCCGAAGGTGCCAGACATCACGAACCTGGACGGCATCTTCGCGGCTCCCATGGCCGAGGACGGGCGGATGCAGCTGCCGACCTTCTCCAAGTGGGTCTCCTCGCTCCGCCGCGACGAGGCTCAGATCATGAAGCAGGAGCGGCTCTGGAGCGAGGGGCGCGGCGTCGACCGCGCCAAGCACAAGGGCAAGGACGGCAAGGGGCCAGGCCGCGGCGGCGGCAAGGGCCCCAACCCCTCTGCCGAGTAGGGGCCCTCGGCCCCTGGGCGCCCGGGTCGACGGGGCAGGTCCTCCGGCGACGCCTGCTTCGACAGCGCCTGCTGCCCGGGCGACCCCCTCGTCGCCATTTCTGTGCTGGCGCTCCTCGCGGGCGCCCCCTTGGTCGGTGGAGGCCCCGACGTGAGCTACGGCACGGGCGAGCTTGGCGGCCCGATGATGCGGGACATGGCCCTCGACCTGACCCCGCAAAGGACTACCGCACCATCCAGGGTCACAGTGACGGAGACCCCTTTCCCCTCCCGCTGTCTGGGGAGGTGCTCGCGCGCGGCGGCCATGCTGGGCCTGCTTCGCGGTCGCGAGTGCGATGCGCGCGCGAGGCGATCTGGTCTCTGAACGCCCTCGACGCCCCATCGTGCGCCCTTCGGGCGCACCAGCCTTCCTCGAGCCGTCGCCTCACGGAGGCGCAGCGCTCGATCGTCTCGCGCGTCAGCCGGCGCATCGAGAGCTACGGAGAACGACCCGACATCCTGCCCGCCACCGCCTACGCCGACCTCATCAAGAGTCACGACTTGTACTCGGGGCAGCCGATGAACCTGAAGCCGTGCGACCCCAGCCTTCTCAAGGCGCTCCACCGCGACCGACGCCCACAGGAGCTCCGCGCCTGCCTGGGCACCGAGGGTCGCAGGTACCTTGACCGCGCCGACGAGCTTATCTTCATGACTGAGGCCGAGCTTGACGTCCTCCAGGAGAGCGAGCTGATCCAGCCCGTTAAGCCGCATTGGGACCCGATCCTGAAGAACAATCGCCGCGCCAGGATAGACTTCATCAAGCGCCTCGCCTCTGTGGGCCTCGTCGGGTTCAGGCTCTCCATCCGTGGCCGCATCGGCGCCTTCTGCGTGGGCAAGAGGGACGGATCCCTCCGCCCCGTCCTCGACGGGCGCGAGCCCTCCTCGCTCCACAGGAGGCCGCCCCACACCGCCTTGGGATCCGCTGGGGCCCTCGCAGGGCTCGACCTCTCTGACCAGGCCCTGCGGTCCCAGGGCGTCGATCCCCAGGCGGCCGACATCCACGCGGCGGGCCTGGACCTGAAGGATGGGTTCTACCAGTTCGCGAACGACGACCTCGCGGACTGGTTCGGGTTCAACTACCCCGAGGCCGCGTCCGACTTCGGCGACCCGCTGGTGTGCATCCCCGCCGACGGCCGCTTCGTCCAGGTGCCGAGCGACACTCGGATCTTCGCGGTCTTTCGGGGCCTGCTGATGGGTTGGTCGTGGTCCCTCTTCTTCTGCCAGGATCTCGTGGACGAGGCCCAGTGCAAGGGCCTTCTGAGCTTGGGATGTGAAGGCGGAGGCCGCTTGGTGCACGAGAGGTGCCCCGCGCCCTTGCTGGCGCCCGGCTGCCCCCTGTCCCAGCCCTACGTGGACAGCGCCAGCGTCATCGGCCTCAGCCGCAGGGGCACCGAGCACGCGCTGCGCGGCATCCAGCACGTCCTGGACTACTTAGGCATCGACTACCACGACCTGGTGGAGCCCACGAAGTTGTACACCACGGTGGGCGTCGTGCTCGACACGGCTGAGCGCCGCCTTCGCCACGCGGGGGCTCGCGCTTGGCGCCTGTGCGTTGGCGTGGAGCATCTGCTTCGTGTGCGTCGTGCATCTGGCCGTGCCCTTCGAGTCGTGCGCGGCGCTGGACGAGGGGCGCCGCTTCATCGCGCAGCACCTGGACGAGCGGGCCCCCCTCGGCCGCCTCCTGCTGGACGAGCTCCGTGCGGTGAAGGGCCTGCTGCTGCTGGCCGACGTGGACCTCGCCGCCCCCTGGTCGCGCGTAGTCTACTGCAGCGACGCGTCGGGCGGTGAGCTGCGCGGCTGGGCGGGCTGGCCTTTCGCCGTCGCGGGGAACGGCGGCTACGCCCTCCACGAGACGGCCTGCGTCGACTACGAGGTCATGCAGGCTTTCAGGTACCGCGAGCGCTGGAGGTTCAAGATGGAGGAGGAGGAGCTGGTCACGCTGGGGGCCCCGAGCGACGAGATCCGCGGCTGGACCCCTGAGCCCACGGCCACCTCCGACCTGCTCATCGCCGGCCTCCTGGCCCCCAGCTCCAAGCCGTCGGTGATCGACCGACGCCTCCCTCGCACGAGGGCCGTCGTCGTGCAGGGCGCCGTGCCAGCTCTGGACGACGCCCTCCTGGTCCGCAGCCGTTGGAAGATGATCGTGCGAGGCGCCTTCAGGTACAAGGCCTCCATCCACGTGAAGGAGGCTCGGACTCAGCTCCTCGGCCTCGTCCGCGCCTCGCGCGATCCCCGCATGCACGGCCTCCGCGTCGGCAGCCTGGGCGACAACATGGCGGCGCCCCTCAGCTTCGAGAAGGGGCGCGCCCGTGACAGGGCCCTCCTCCAGCTCTGCCAGGTCAGTGCCGCCCGCCAGATCGGGTGCGAGATCCAGTGGAAGCAGCGCTACTGCGAGTCAGGCCGCAACCCGACGGACGCCGACAGTCGTGCTGCTGACCTGGGACATGTCCTACCTGATCATCCCCAGCGTGGCTGCTCGCGGGCCCTGGCCGTCATCGAGTCGGCCAACGCGGCGCTTGCCACGGAGCCCGCGGGGCCCCCTGCTCGCGCGCGGCGCCCCGCACCCTCTGGGCCGGCCGCTGGCCTCCTGCCTGGCGGCCGCGCGCCTTGCCAGGGTCGGCGCCTTCGCGCGGCGGAGGCCCCCTCGGGCTGGCGCCGTGCACGGGCGCCCAGCGCCCGAGCCCCCTCGCGCTGACCCACAGGCCACGCCGCACGGACAGCCGTGCCAGCGCGCCCGCGGGGGCCGCAGCCGCTGCCGGGCATTTTGCGAGCTCTACGCGGGCACCGGCAGGCTCACGGCAGCCGTCAGAGACATTCGTTTGCACTGCACTCCACACTTCGAGATTGGAAATGGGAAGCATTTCGACGTCCATCATCATTCTGTCTTTCGTTCTTTATTACGCTGGATTCGCCTCAAGAAGCTTTGGTATATTGATTTCGGTACTCCGTGCACTTTCTGGTCACTCGCCACTGGGTCCCATCGGGGCTCTCATCAGCTTCAAGGGCTTCGAGCTGCGCGTGCTACCTTGCGGCTTTTACGACTATGTCATCAGTGCGGCATACACTGGTCTTTGGAGAACCCGGCTGGGTCCAAGCTCTTCAACTGGGACCCCCTCACGGACTTCCTGAAGACCTCAGGTGGCAACTGGGCCCTCCTCCACTACTGCCAGTGCGGCTGCACCTATAAGAAGCCTGCGTACCTCGTGTCGAGCCTCCCAGATATCACTTCTCTCGAGCGCCTCTGCCCAGGGAACCGCGGCCACGAGATCCTCCAGGGCAGGGTTTCCCTCGCGCCACCCTCTGGGGCCATCCGCAGCCATTGGAAGACCAGCCTTGCGGGGGCCTACCCACCTGAGCTCTGCCGCAGATGGGCTCGCCTCCTCGCGGCCTGTGCCCCCCGCGCTGCACGCTGCGCTCAATGCCGGCGACCCGCTCGGCGACCACTGGGAAACTGAGCTGGCGGCCAACTTCCCAGGCGGAGGCGTCCAGCCCCAGTGGCCGCAACCCTCCTGCCCTTCGGGGTCGCCGCCCGAGTGGCCCGCCTCGGCGCCGCAGTGGGGCGCCGCCTGGTCCAAGCCTGCCGCCGCTGGCGGGCAGGCGCCGGGCCGGGGCGCACGCAGCAGAGAGCGTCGTGGTTCGCCGGCGAGGGCGGGCGGTCGGTGCGGACAGGCCCTACCTCAAGCACCATCGTGTCCAGCCCCGCACCGTCGCCTTGCACCGCGAGGCCCGCCGCAAGTTCAGCCAGTGGGCGGCCGAGCAGCACCTCCGCCAGGTGCCCATGGACGAGACAGACCTGACCATGACGAGGTACCTCGACCACATGTACTTCCAGGGGCTCAGCATCGCCCACGCTAGGAACGCCGTCCACGGGACGATCTCCGCGAAAGACTACCCGCGACGATCGCCTACCACCATGTGCCGCGCCAAGGACGCCATGGCCGGATGGTTCAAGGCAGGGCCCGACCGCGTCAGAGATCCGCTGCCCTGGGAGGCGGCGGTGCTGATCGCCGACAACCTCGCCGAGAGAGGCCGCGATGGGGGTCGCCGCCGCTGGGGCCCTGCTCGTCAGCTTCGACGGGTACATCAGGCCGAGCAACACCCTGGCCATCACGAGCCGCGAGGTGAGCCAGCGCCAGGCGGGATCCAATCCCAACTACCCCAGCCTCGTGGTCACGATCGCGCCCCAGGCCGACGACCACGGCCAGCAGCCCGCCCCATCGACCAAATCGGGGGACCACGATTGCACCATCGTCTTCGGCGACCAGGCCAGCCTCAAGGCCAACAGGGGCATCTGCCGCGACGCCCTGCTCTGGGCCTCGAAGAAGGCCCGCCGCGGCAGGCCCCTGTTCGACATCAGCCTCGCAAAGTACGAGCAGCTCTTCAACCAAGCCGTGTCCGACGTAAAGCTGAGATCTCTCAGAGTCACGCCGCACTGTGCCCGACACGGAGGCCCGAGCACCGACGCAGCTCTCAAGCTGCGCCTTCTTGAGGCCATCCAGAAGAGAGGCCTCTGGCGCTCGGCCTCCAGCGTGCGGCGCTATGAGAAGCATGGCGCACTCATGCGCCAGATTGCAAAGATGACGTCCTCCCAGCTTCGCTCTGTGCCCGCAGCCCTTCGAAGGCTGCAGAATATGTTCAAGATTTGATTTCCCACCCACCCTGCCCTAACAGTCCGTTTTACGAGGTACGGGATGAGGTGATTATCTCGATAATTCAGGCTTTTCCCTTGTACTGTGGCGACGCCACAGCAGAAGCGACGTTCTTGAGTGGAACCCTCTGGCTACAGAGTTATCTGTCGCGCTTCGCGCACTGCATGGCCCTTCTGCCCACGTCTGCTCTGGTCGCCCGTGTAGAGAGGCCTACTGGTGCGTAGCAATGTTCTGTCCCTGACATCTCTTGCGGTGTTCTCGAGGGCGACCGCTCGACAGGATGTCGTTTCCATAATCCTTTTTGGCTCTGTAGTTTCCCTCCCTCCCTCCCTGGGATGAGGTGATTATCTCGGTAATTCAGGCTTTTCTCTGGTACTCTGGCGACGCCGCAGTAGAAACGACGCTCTTGAGTGGAACCCTCTGGCTAAAGTGTTATATGTCGCGCCTCGCGCACTGCATGGCCCTTCTGCCCGCGTCTGCTCTGGTCGCCCGTGTAGAGAGGCCTACTGGTGCGTAGCAATATATATATATATAGAGAGAGAGAGAGAGAGACAAGACTGCAGTGGCGCTTCGCGCCATGTACCTTGGTCCTTGAAGTTTGGCACGCAGGCGGAATAGCAGGAAGGTCAAGCCGACAATTTAGCGATAACTCCTGATTGTTTTTTTTTGGCATCGCCGCTATAATAATGTTATTTGTTATCTCTCCTCCATGCTTCTTGTTCCTTCTTTTCGCCATGCCCCGCGCATTCTCCCCATTTTCCTCAATTCTTTTTTTGCGGCGGCTCCTCCTTGGAGAGCCTTTAGAGGCCTCACAAAAGTTGTTTCAGGCTTTCTTAAGGCCTTCTGGAGACCTCCTGGGCGTATTTTGGGGGCGTCCGGTGGTTTCCTCGGGCCACCCTGCCTCCAACCGCGGTTTCCCTGAACGACCGAACCTCAATTTGGAATTCTTCGGAGGGCGTCTTTGGGCCATTTCGGGCCACCATGGGGCTCTCTGAGGGCCATCTTGGACCCGTGTTGTGCCGTCTTGGGGCTCTCTTGGACTGCCTGGAAGCTTTTTTCGGATGGTTGTGGGGTGATTTTGGAGCCTCCGAGAAGCCGAATTCACTAAAAAACCACAGAACATCTATGATTTTTGCCTCGGGGGGTCCGGGGGGTCCGATGACCCCCCTGATCGCCCTAGGTGTGTTGGGAAGGCTTGGCTGCCGCGGGGCTCTGGGCGTGTTTGGCAAAACGCCATGTGAGGCCCGGTGGCCGCTTCGAGGCCCGTCTGGAGGGTTCCAAAGCCCCAGATCCCGGGAGTCCGGTTTTTTTGGGGGGGGACGGGTGTTCCCCCCGCCCAGGCTTATAAAGATATAGGAAGAGGAATAGATCTATGTACAAGGCTCAAGGCCTTATGGTTCAAGGTATTCTGCCAAAGAGCCCCGACCAGGAATCCTGCCGAGGCTGGGGTACAGTCCTGACTTTTTCTCTACACCCTACACTTCCAATTTCGGCCATCCCGAGTTGCACTCCCGACCTTTCCTCTGCCATGCCGCCATGCCAGGTATGCGTCAGGTTTGGACTCCCAGCCGAGGCGCTCCCAGGTTTGGTCATCTGCGCCGCGCATGGTGGCGCCTCCAGAGTTGACGGTCTCAGGCGCCATGCGGCCGCTGCTCCGCTGGCTGCCCCGCCTGGGCTGGTTGGCCAGGCGCCTAGCGCACTTGTTGCCGGTGCCGTTGGCATTATCACCGAGGCCGACGACACTGGCGCCACACATTATAATTCGGATACCCCCGCGCGAACGCCCCCATTGAGGCCACAGGGGGACCTCCAGGCACGACCCATGAGAAGCATGTTCCGAAATTAGCGGGGGCACGCCATGCGAAGTTGTCCATTGTTGTTGTAGGTGGAGCTCCTTCTGGGGCATGGTTCGCGTGACAAGTCGCGTAATTTAATTGGCGTGGTAGCGTTCACATGCAGCAAGGCGCACAATTATCCACTAGAGAGTTGGCGCGCGCGAAGTGCGGGCCATGATTATATAGTACATGTGCTTCTGCATATGGCCGCCTGGTGGATGTACCGTTCTCTATCAGCCGCCCAGCGTTCCCTTCCTCCCTGTTGCGCTCTGCCGTCTAAAAATGGCCCTGCTCAGGCAATTTCGGACTTCGTTGTGGTTGTCAATGGCGAGGCCTGTGGCCACATTGTCTTATCCTCGTCCATCGCCCTCCAGTCAGCAACCGTTATTTTAACCTCTGTATGTTATCATCCCTCCATCTTTTCTTACTTCAGCTTCATGCTTTCCCCGTTTGGTTTCCATACATAGCACGCCCTCGTGAATTGCTATCCGTCAACCTCCTCCCTCATCCTCGATCCTCCCGCCAGTCTCGAACCCTCTGCTTTCGTGTGCGCTCAAAGACGCGAAGAGTAATCAGAATTCGCCCTCTGTCTATGCCTCTGGCTTGAGCACTGCTTAGAACCATACCTCCCTCTCATGCTCTCTCTGGCTCTGCCCCGTCTCTGTCTCCTCCCTGAGTTCCCATCCCTTTCTGGTCCATCCCATCTTTCTATTCATCCTCGCTGACCTTCTCCTTCTCCACTCTCCTATTCATCCCTCCTTTGTTCCTCCTCCCTCCTCCCTTCTGATTATCCTCCTTCGCGTTCTCTCTCTCCCTCTCTCTCTCTCTCGTTCTCTCTATCGTTTGTTTGTTGTTCGTGGGCTCGTTTTTTTTTTTTTTTTTTTTTTTTTTTTTTTTTTTTTTTTTTTTTTTTTTCTCTCTCTCTCTCTTACTCTCTGACTAACTCTCCTCTCAGTCCCTTTGCCTTCCCATTGTCATGCACACGTAGCGCCGCCCCCTGCTCTTTCGCGCGCGTCCAGCTCCACCAGCAGAAGGCCGACGTGGGGGAGCCGGAGAAGATCCTACGTCGCGGGCGCCTCCGCGCCGAATCGGCAGAGATGGTGTAAACAGGGCGATCGGTAAATTGAATGTGCAGTTCCGGTGTTTCTGCATAGCCCCTTCCCCACCCTGTCAAACTAGGATGTCCAGTTTCGCGCCGAACGAGAATGGCGATTATCACCAAAGGCCATCCCAATATTATCAGAAGACCGCCAACCGACGCCGAAGGCGCATGTATTGTAATTGGTTCATAGCCGAATGCGTAATATATTCAAATTTGAGGAATGCCCACATTGTGTCAGATTCTGCAAGGCGTTGCCGTTCAGACAGAGTTTTCGGCTTTTGGGATCTTGTCGGCACGACGCGATGGAATTGGCTCTTCCATCGCTTCGATCGGATTGTTCGCGTCCTCGCTCGTCGCGCGTCCCTTCTTCCTTCCCTTCGTGCGCCGTGCGCCTTCTTTTTCCCCCTGCATCGCCACAGAGATATGCATGCAGCTTGCTGGTCGGACGCCGTCAGCTACAGTATCATTGCCCACATCTTATGCACGTGTCCATGGGCTGGCTGCCGCAGCCTACGGCTTGACCTGACCTGACCTGCGTTCTCGTACTTGTCCATTTGAGGACTGACGACTGCATTTCGTGGAGAATGAAGCAGGTGACACGGGTTTGGCTCTGGCTGCGATCGCTTGCGCGACCCTAGTTCCAATGTCGTCCACCCTCTGCCTCATGGTATCGGCGCAAGCGACCGATTGAGTGACCCTGCGGCCCAGTGATGCAAAAAGCGTTTGTACGTGCTGATTGCAGGCGGCGATATTGGATCGTGGGCCTCTTGTCAGTCGAGGCGGGCCGTCCTTCTGCTGAGCCGATCCTGCACCCCTGCCGGCGCAGGGACTGGCTGGAGCCGAGCGACTTCGAGGAGCAGGCTTCGAATCTGCTACCGGGGATGGCATGGGCACTCGTGCGGCGGCTGCTTGAGAAAGTAGCTGGCCACCCCCTTACAATCTGAGATTTGGAAGGGGCCATCAGGCGGATCCATGACCTAGGAAGAAGATGGATCGTCCCTGAGCGTTCGAGAATGCTCTCAACGCGTTCTGTAGCGCCCTAGATCGGCCGCCGCGCCCGATGCATGTGAAAGCATATCTATGTATATATATATATATATATATATATATATATATATATATGCAAACATGTGGAGCTGGCTATCCGAGATCCCGAACACAGCTGAGCTGCAAGTAGAGGAGGAATGAGCTGTGAGGGGCAAATGGGCATAAGGCGGAGGAGTTAAGGGCGCGATGCACATGCGTATGTATGACTTCCCATATCCAACGTTGGGTGTTTGTTTCTCCGGACACCCTGTGCAGTCCTCACATACCCACAGGCCATGTTTAGCATCATCGTCGTAGTCATCATGTTCATCATCGTCATTACCTCGATCGATCCGTAGTCTCTTGGCTCAAGTTTTGTCCCAGCTGTTTGACAACAAAGCAGAACAGCCGCTTGTAGAAAGCATGCACATCGGAAGACACAATGTATCCGATGTTTCGCTTCGCAGTCGCGGCATTACTCGTATCTTCCGTGATTTGCAGCGAGTATTATGGTTGGGCTTGTTCGCCACTAGTTCGGGCGTGGAGGTGCCGCGCACGTGCTACAACAACTCTGACTTGACAAGTCTTCCAGAATGTGAGCATGGCTCCTACATCACCAGTGGCCCCGCCAAGTTCGAGATGGGCGGTATCAAATGCCAGGGGCTCTTCGACGGATGTTGCCGAGTCAACCGGTTCGAACTCCGCGAGGGGGAAGCATGCTACATCTCCGCGTGGCTGAACACGTCATACTATTTGGCAGCAGAAAAACTTCGCGAGACCGGTCTGGGTGTGCTTTCTCAAGGGATTACGCCAGACAGACCCGAATGTCAGAAACCATTTTGCGACTTGGAAGCCCCAGTAGATAACAATTGGATGAACCTCTTGCCAGTGGCAGGTGGGGGCCTCTTGATAAGTTATTATCCGCAAGTGTTGAACCTCGATCTCGAGACTCTTGCAGTCTCTGGCGAGCACGAGGTGGGGGATGGCGCGAGCAGGAGTCCGTCTTGGATGCCACAGTACCACACCGCCACAATCGGCTCTGCACATCCGGTGCGGCGGCCAACAACCGAGACCACGCATGTAGCCATCATGTGATCGATGCCATTAATGCCACTAGAACCGAACTGCGTCTCCATCTACTCGATCGGCACGACGAGGGGCAACCGACGCGATGTGATTGCAAGCGTCGTGGTCAAGAGGCTTCAATATTTTCACAGCTACGGGGTCTCAGAGCAGTACGTCGTTTTGCCTTGCAGTTTGAGGAATGACAGCGAGGCTCGAATATCTTGTGGCCGGCCCATACATGATTGACAAGTTTAATGAAGATTGGGAATGGGGTTTATTTAGTTGACCTTGAGGGGCACGCCGATAAGTTCGAGACCGCATAGTTGTTGCATGTCCACGCCGCGAATACTTTCGAGAATGAGAAAGGCATGGTGATGGATGTCGGGGCCTTCACAGAATTACCGTTTAGTAAAGGTCCACAGTTATATATTGCCCAGCTCTACAACAAGATGGCCCGCGACGGTATCCCAAGATCAAGCAGGGAGCTTCGCCGCTACGTCTTTCATCTTGACGGGGAAAAAACAGGACCAGGTCACTTGGCAGGCTGTTTCGGCAACTGATCGTCTTGCCGTTTTTTCAAGATTAGTGACACTTGGAACGGGTTGCCATACTGTTACGTCTATTCGGATGAGCGGTTCCACCGTTGGGAAGCTTATGCCTGCATGGCCATCGCCAAGCAGAGCACGTGCACCGGTGAGAGGACTCACTGGAAGGCCAAGGGCAATGACCCCGGTGTACCGCTCTTCATACCAAGCCCAGGTCGCGCGGAGGACGACGGCCTCGTTATTTCTGTCGTCCTCAATGTCAACGGGCCGAGATGGATTTCAGAGTTAGTGGTGCTAGACGGTAAGACAGCCAGCGAAGTTGCCACCATCGGGGTGCCACCGCAGGGGCAGTCAAGGCTGCCAGGGATGTGGGGGGAGGCAAGCGGCCGGGAAGTAATGCTCACCTTATTCGAGTATCTGGATTGTTTTACTGTTGGTGGTTGGTCAATCAGTTCCCCCTGGATGCGCGTGAAACGTATGTCTCCGCACGCGAAGTGATACCCCAAAATTTGCAGCCGCGGGTATTATATTTGCGGATGCAAATCCGCTCGAGAGCGAGAACCCGTTGAATATTGCCTGAGGTGCCGCGCTGTTTCTCTTCTCTGGTGCTTCATTGCATCAAGTTTACCGAGTTGCCTTTGCAGATAGCGCATAAGCTACCGCGCGTCGAACCAGGCATTGAGTTCGCAGTGGCGTAGCTAAGTTTTCGAAAACTCTGGCAGCAGCAGCGCGTTCAGTCAGATCACGTCGAGGTTCCTTGTGAAGCTGGCTTATATTCTGACGCGACGATCCGGGCCGGAAAATCGCCACTGCTTCGGTCGACAGGTCATCGTCATCATCATCACCACCACGGCCATCATCATCACCATCCGTAGCAAATTTCGCTCAAGTTCTACATTTTCTTCTTAAGGCATAGAATTTGCTCGCAGCTTAGGGGGGCCCGAAGGGCGCGCCCGGAGTTCTTCGTGCTCTTTCGCCGCAGTCCGTTGCCTTGCAATGGGGGGCCTTCCGCGTCGTCACTCCGTCTCGCGTTCCCAGTCTTCCTCTGGGGGCGCTGCTTAGTCGAGGTTCATCCTGGGCGAGGTGCCCGCGCCGCGCAATTTGAACGTCCCAGATGTCCGCGGCAATTTCGCCAGCCTCGACAAGCTCGATTGCCGGCGCGCAGAATCACATCGCCGTTCGCGCTTCGAGAACGGCAGAATCCGACAAGCAGTTGCAGGGTTTTCAATGCGGCGGATATACCGCGATGGAAGGCGCGCGCGAGGTTGCTGCCGCGCGCGCACCTGCCGCGCGCCCGCGAACCCTCGGGGCTCATCTTGCCGATCTGGGCCAGAAGCTCACAGGTGCAACGACGCGATTTGCCGTATCTTCCACGGGTAGCCTCTCGACGCGGTCTGCTGCGCGCTGCGCGTTGCCTCCGGGCAGATCCAGGTCATGGGCCCAAGGGCGCCCCATTAATCAGCCGACGGCCGTCGCCGAGACACAATGCAGCATCGCGAAGGCTCCGCGCCGGATGAATTGCGCGCGAGTCAGCGTCAGCGCCGGAGCTTGCGTCTCGCCCGCGCCATCAAGTACGACAGGGCCGAGTGCGCCAGGGCTTTCTGCGAGCGCGCGGCAGTCGCCCCGCTCTTTCCGCACAGGCCTCCGCGGGCATTCGCGACGACTTGCGCGCCTGGTTCGGCGAGGCGCATGCTGCCGGGAAAATGGGGTTCTTTACCCGTGTTATATGGGAGCTGATGTCTACGTATACGCGCGACAATGGACGCTCGAACACATCGATGATCCTTGCGCGCAGCAGATGCCAGGGCCTCTGCTACGCCGCGATCAACGACGAGCCGATGGCCCCTGTCACCCTCGCCGCGCGGCCGGGCGCTGAAGCAATCCTCGGCGCGGACGACGCGCGCGCTGCAGGGCGTCGGGGCGCCCGATGCGCGGGCCCAGGGCCTGCCCGCAGCCGCCTGCCGCGCCTGCGCGCAGGAGGAGGGCGACCGCGCACTGAGCTTCGTTGCCGCTTCTGCCTCGCCATCTTGCAATATTGCTGGTTTGCCTTTAACCGACAGGCATGGCCAGGCGGCCTGTCCAGCCTCTCCCCCGCCCCTTCGGCGGCGAAGGAATTTGCGCCCTTGGCCCCTTCCGGCTAGAGCAGAAGCTTTCGATCTGCATCTGGAATTCGCCATCGTTTTGTTTCCCCAAGTGCGCATGGCGACCTTCTGAGCGCAGAATATCATCAAACCACTTGAGTCCCACGTTTCCATCAACGCGCATGCTCCTATATACTTGCATGAGCCACGTGGAATGGACGCGCGCACACGTCAGTTCGTTCGGCTACAACCAGCGCGCGGTCGGCGCGACGATCAGCATCGCCCATTTCCCAACGCAAATCTTCGCGACGGTAGAGCAGATGCAGTTGGGCGACGAGCGGCTGCCTCTCTCTCTCTCTCTCTCTCTCTCTCTCTCTCTCTCTCTCTCTCTCTCTTTTCTCCCCCCTCTCTCTATCTATATATATATACATATATATATACATATATATGTATATATATATATATATATGTTTGTTCCTCTCTCTCTCTCTCTCTCTCTCTCTCTCTTCTTTCTTTTGGTGACCCTCTCTCTTTATTTCTCTCTCTCTCTATCACCCTCTCTCTCTCTCTCTCTTTTTCTTTTTTTTTGTTTTCTTTCTCTCTCTCTCTCTCTCTCTCTCTCTCTCTCTCTCTCTCTCTCTCTCTCTCTCTCTCTCTCTCTCTTTTTTTTGTTTTTTTTTTCTCTCTCTCTCTCTCTCTCTCTCTCTCTCTCTCTTCTATATGTGCGCGGGCCCCGGGGCGTCCTATAACTCTGGCGACGTCAATCGCGGCGCCGCCCTCAGTGATCCCCAGAAAGCTCGGTTGTAATTCGTTTGCTCGCGCGCTGCCCGATTCGCCCATGTGTTCTAGTTTCCTTGCAGCGATTGCATGCTCTTCACATTGGGGCAGGCCCGCGCAAGGACAGCGGGCGAACCGCGCCATTTTGAGCGCCCAGCTCTGGTTCGACATCTCCGCTACCCGCTTCCTGAATTCGAGTTGGCGCAGGGCGAGCTTGCGCGCGAGCCCGGGGGCCTCTGGGGCGGCGTCCGCCCCCTGGGGCGCCGGAATCGGTCGCGCGCGATGGCGCCGAGTGCGATGGATCTGGAAGTGAGAGCTTCGGCTGAATTATCGGGCGCGCGTCGATGGCACATGGGCCGGTTTCCC